CGCAATATTGAGACAAAATGCAAATCATCGGTACTTTACGAGAGCCACCGATATATACAACGTCTTGAGCAACACATTCAGATCATTGCTTACGAAAACTATATGATTAAATACGATCGGTTGGTACGCAATATGACACAACAGGGTCCTGTCCATCTCGATCACCACCATGATCAACATCACCACAATAAGCAAGGTAAAGGTACACTTTACATATGTAATGCCAGTTTCTCATATATGCATATTTTAAAATAATTTATTAACAGATAATACAATTGCAAATAAAATACGTGCTGAAATTGTGGCGAAAAAATAAATTAATGTTGTAAAACAGATTAATGATTATTAATATATAATCAATAATAACAACATTTTGTTTAATTATCATTAATAAAAATGGAGTCTTATTATTGGAATTATGTTTTATTTAAAAATAAAAAATTTAGAGAAAAAATTACATGATAAACGATACAGAGTATATAATTATATGAATTTTCTTTTTCTACTTTGATATGATTTTAAATAAAAAATAAAAAACATGTAAAAGAATATAAAGGGCTGAATAATTGCCAAGTATTTCAATGGTTTCGGGTATTCAGATAAATCTCCAATTAGTATACAATATATGGCGTACACTATAAGTATCGCGAACTGTATTAACTGTAAACGAGTTAAGTATCTCTTCCACCATAAATAGGGCTGTATTTGGGGTCCAAATGCCGACAACAGGTAATAGCTATACATAAGTGAATGAATGATTGAATTCAGTAAACAAAACACTTCGATAACAACGGTTTGTGGACACAGTTTGGCCGTCAAAAAGCCTAATACTGGTACTAAAAGTAATAATATATTATAACATTAATAGCACTGAAAATATTCTTAAAAAATATACCCATAAAGTGATGGTAAATATGCAAAAATGATATTTGATTTGACTTTTTTCTCAATACAAAAAATACGGTATCGAATAAATCAATAAGTTTTGTGTAAAAATAAAATACTTTTTGGTTTAATTCATACAAAGTCCTATCGGACCAGTCGTTACGGTCGGGCAGTTTCGGGTCTAACGATTTGCGCCCGAAGTTGAGCCAATTGAGTGCCGCGTATATGAAGTACCCGTTAATCAATACTAGTATGAAATTATGTATCATTAATACTCTGTTTAATGCCAACGGCTTTCGGTGGGCCATAATATTAGGCCCTAATTTCATCACAAACGCCAACCATATGGCCATAATTGTGACAAACATCGCCGGACCCCCACTTATCAAGTAATAGTTTCGCAGCCGTCTGTCCGTCTCGTCCACCCAATACTGATGAAACATATATGTAAATCCATTTGATGACTGGATTTGATTTTGATTGTCCCTATAATTCTAATATATCATATTTATTTTATTGTAATTTATTTATTTGTATGCGTTACATTACAATGTATATACAGTATTTACCATATGTATAAACTTGTCAAAAATTTTTATAACAAAAATAAAACAATTGAATATTTAATAAAAAAGACATCTGTTTATAAAGTTCTTGAAATAATAAAAACAAATGCACTTCTAAATGAAATAAACCCAATAAATGACTAATTATCGTTGACCAAGGACTTTTAATCAAACAATATATCATTTACTTATCACATTTATAATAAAGTAATATAGTATTAACTTTAGTATTAACTTTATTAAATTTTGTATATTAACAATATAATTATAACTTTACAATAATTAACAATAATTACACAATAATAATTTGGTTTACAATAATTATTGGTTAGATAATTAACGTTTATTAACTCAATGTATATTTAAATACTGTGTAAAATTAATAATACTTTACTTGTAAAGTACTTTTATCTTTTTATCTTTTATCTTTTATCTTTTTATCTTTACTTTATGAACATGTAAATGCATACTTTATATGCGTTGAAATACTAATTTGAGTAGTTTAATTAAACTTTTTTTTAAAAATAAATTAAATATTATACGTTAATATAAAAACAATAAATTACATAATATAGATGTACAAAACATACAGTACTCTCCAATAAATTATAAAATAGTTTGCATTAAAACTTTATAATTTAGTTCCGTATGTCATGAACTTCATATTATCATCCTCGTAATTTTCCAGTCACTGACCATGATGAGTTCCATCACTGGCCAATCAGCATTTTCTTCCGAACACCTCATAAACATTGCCTATTGATCAGTATAATTACCTTAATGTGAATTAAGCCTATATATAGTCATTGCATTCCATGTATTACTCGCAGTTTATTTTGACTTAACAATCACTTCGATCACTATTTTGTTTAAAAAAGTTATTGTTTAATCGTTAAGCGAGTATATTCTTTATTGTTCGATAGTTCGGCTACAATAATAGGCGACCGACAAGTACTTACATACTTCACAAGTTATAGTTGATTATTGCGAATTACCTCTTTAGCCTAAAGATCTGTTTATGATATTATATTAATAAAAATATCCACAATAACACAATATGAAAAGGTCAGTTTGAGTTGACAACATTGCAGTTCAAAATAAAGTTTATTAATAAAAACTATATTTCCCGTTATTTTCTAGCAATCAATTATCTATCGATGAGTCCATACGACTGTCAGGCGATGTCTTTGAAAACGTGTTGCAAACCAATGATGTGGTCAAAGCGTTGGCAGATATTGAGCCCTATTGTGAGCACAGTATATATCACTGTTATATTCGCTCATTATATCTAATTATGACTGCAATGACATCCGTGGAAAAGGTTATTATTCATACCATCATTATTGTGATTTAAAATTTTGAAACAGTTATTCTATTGAATTTTAAATTGATTTTAAAATTATAATTTACATTTGAACAGAAAGACATTGACCATGCCTATCAAGCTGTAAATGATTTAACGAAATTATGCGATAAATATCGCAAAACAGGTCTAATACTTAGCATAATTAAAATGCTTAAAACACCAGATTATAGTAAATATACTGATGGTAAGTGTTAAAAATTATAATTATAAATATAAAGTTACTTTACATTTTCATAATAATATTACTTAATTATTTATGATTACTATAGTTGAAGTGCATTCTGAGTTATTGTATACATACAGTCTCTTATTCAGTGGTCTAGTGTTGGCCATTGAGACCAATAATATCTATGCACTCATTAAAGTTGCCTATCGTTTGCAAAAATATGTCAAACATTTGAGGTAACATTAATTTTTAAATATGTTAACAATGATATTTTTATGACAAATGCTATTTAGTAACAATTAATGTTACCTTAAATTAAAGTTATTGTAAAACAATATTGAAAACTCGTTCCCAATGGGAGAGCGAAACATCGAGAGTGTATTTTGAGAGCGCCGTACAACTGGGCAATGGTCTTGCCCATTTGACCATCAGTAATATACCGCCTAAACTTTTGCGCATTATTAACTTTTTGGGCATACGGGGTGTGGAAAATGTTGGTTGGGGACAAATTAACAAGGTGGCATTTGAACTACCAGGTTTGTTTGGCCAATTGGCCAGATTGTTTAAATTATTATACTGGACATATTTCGATACACACGCCGGTATCGGACCCGTAAACGCCGAGATATGCGGCCAACTAATGGACACCGAACTGGAAAAGTATCCGAAAGTAATTACATAATTGTATATATTTTTATTTAACCATTCCAATTAATTATTCAAATAACTAATCACCACTGTTTACATAAATACTGTATAATCAAATTTGGCAGAATTTAATGTTGAATATATTTGGGTCAAAATTGGATCAAATAAACGGTAAGATCGATGTGGCCATAGATTCGTACCATAGACTACTGGGTGATCCGCACGTGACACCACGACGATTCATATACTTTGAGCTAACGTGGTGTTATGCGCTTCAATCTGATTGGCCAAGGTGCATTGGGTACGCCGAAAAATTTCGCACTAACAGCTTTTACTCGCCGGCCATCGCCACGTATATGGAGGCTGTGTTTCGGTACACGGAATGGACCATAACTGATGAGTCCGTGGCTAAAGACAATGCCACCGAATTGTTCAAGTAGGTTTTAAGACATTCAATTAAGATAATTTAAATTAACAATTGCAACCAACCACATTTTGTGGTAAGACTGGTGCCGACACTTCGTATACGACATTTGGGTAAAACTATTACACCGGAAAAGGTGGCGGTTGTGAGCGCTCAGAATTATATCAAAAACGGGGAACTCTTGATTCTGCCGGACGTGGTTTGTTGCTAAAGTTTAGGTTTTACCTTGAATAGTCCCAACACATAAGTTCTATCTTTAGCTTTAAAATTGTTTGAAAGTTATTTAGAAAATTTAAATCTTAAAATATATTTATTTATTTATGTTTAACATATTTACAATTTAGGCCATATTATATGATCTAAACTACTTCTCACTCATAAGAAGCGATACTGTATTGTTGAACAAATTTATGGACCGCATTACTGAATGCGAATTGAAATACCAATGTGACATAGGTACTTTTTTGTGAGGCAACGAATGCACAAATTCTTACATGAATATTAATAAATGTTGTCAAATTAATAGACTCATCAGACTATCTGGATAATTATCTGATAGCTATATTTTATAAGGGAGTTGTGTTTAGACTAATGTCCGACTTTAAAAAGGCGACCGAATGTCAGCAAATTATTATTGATAAGTAAATAATTGTTATATAAATTTAAACAAAAATTACAGTACATAGTAAATAAATATTATAAAATGACTTATAATTATATATTTCTAATAGCGAATCGCGAATTGGGGGACAGTTTTCACTGCCGGCTCAGGCGGTCCTCGAAATGGGTTTAATTGAATACGAGATGAAAAACACTGAAAAAGCAATCGATTTGCTTAACAAATGTATTAACGAATACACGGGTTATCTGAACGAGAATTACGTTCACATTAAGGCGTTTACAGCCCTCAGAGGTCTGGGAGTGTGTCATACAAAACAGACCGACAACGAGCACCTCTGTATGTTATTAGATATGTTTGCATTAATTCTTAAGTGTTTATATTTTAATCATCATTTAATTGTAATTTAGTTAATATTTCACATTATTTGTCGTCCCATTTACTTTAGTGGAGGAATATAAGAAACAATGGCTTAAAGACATAAACATTGATCAGAAAAGTTATGATAAAGTGGTAGAGATTGAAGACAAGAATGAAATTTAAGGGAAAAATAAATGGTTGTGACAATTGAAATAATAAATTTAGATATTTTCAAAACGACGAATTATACATTTTGAAGTTTTAATAAAGTATTTCACAATAGTATTTGAAATTATTAATTTATAACAGTACCAATGGCCAAATTATCAATTAACAATACCATTGTTAACTGCATCTAATGCATAGTATTTCTACTATTAGTATAACATTTATTTGATGATTAAAAAAATTAATTTTCCGCAAAAATATTATATTATCAAGATTAATGTTTTTTTAATTATAAATGTTAATTAATTTATAATTAATATTCAAGAAGTGAAAAATAACATATTTCCTTATGAATTAAACACTTGAAACATTAAGGTTTTTTATAACAGTTAATAATAGTTAGTTAGCAAACTATCACAGTTTTGTATAAAATTTTGTTTAAAATGTCCCTCAATAAAAGTTGCAAAAATAGTTTCTGCTTTAATATTATAATATTGTCAATAAGGCATCGAAATAACTTTCCGGAAATTGGTTAGAACGTAATTTGTTGATCAAATTTAGCCGAAAATTTTCAAATAATGATTTGATTTGAAAGAGTATTTATCGAGTGACAAAACAATGTCATCCATTTGTCTGTATGTCTTGTGGTTCCCGAGTAATCCTCTCCCGAAGAAGTCCACTCCCGAAATAGCTTTGGCACAATGACCATGGCACTTTTTTAAGAAGAGATAATAAAATGCCGTAAAGTACTTTTGTTCAAAGATTAAATAAAGAAAATAACAATTTGATACAAATTTTAACAATTGATCCAGTCAATTAAAAAATTTCATCATATTTATTTGTTGAATATAATGATTGCCATTGGATAACATTGCCAAAGCTATTTCGGGAGTGGACTTTTCGGGAGAGGATTACTTCGGAATCACAAGACATACAGACAAATGGATGACATTGTTTTGTCACTCAATAAATACTCTTTCAAATCAAATCATTATTTGAAAATTTTCGGCTAAATTTGATCAACAAATTACGTTCTAACCAATTTCCGAAAAGTTATTTCGATGCCTTAATACTAAAAAACATTAAATTAACAAAATTAAATAACATTTCAATTATTGACTATAATTTCCTTTTCTTCGGTTTCCATCAATTGGTCGTATGTTTTCTTCTTAATATTCATACCATTAAGCCATTGATTCTTATATTCTTCCACTAGAAATCAAAATATATATAATTAACGATCAATTGAACACCAAATTTAATAGTAATTGTAATAAAAGTCATACATTTGTTGTCGTCCTCCGAGTGTTTCTCTACACCGACGCCGAGCTCTCTGAGAGCGGCAAACGCCCGGAGGTGGACATAGTTCTCGTTCAGATAACCCGTGTATTCGTTAATGCATTTGTTTAGCAATTCGATGGCCTTTTCGTGGTTTTTCATCTCGTATTCAATTAAACCCATTTCAAGCGCCGCCTGAGCCGGCAGTGAAAACTCTCGTCCAATCCGTCCATCGCTTAATGTCAATAATATTAATGATAATAATTAATAAATTTTAATATAGAAAAATATATTATGTATAGTTGACATACTTTGCGATAACAACATCCATACACTGTTTGGCTTTTGTGTAGTCAAACAATAATTTAGAGACCACACCCTCTAGATATTTAGCCATCAAATAGTTGTCCAAATAATCACTTCCAGCTGATAAGAGGCAATAATTACATTAATAAAATCTTATAACATTATAAAATAATTTTATAACGTACATTATCTCTAAGAAAAGATTATATTTCTAAATATGTTTTTAAATAATTTATATAATTATATAATGTAATACATACTGAGATCACTCTTATATTTCGTCAATTCCTTATTAATCCGATCCATAAATTTGGATAACAGTAGTTTATCGCCTCTAATAAATCGCAACAAATTTAACTCGTATAACACTTCCTTCACAATAAAATATAATAACTTTAGATCAAATCATTTAGTATTCATAGAAAATTAATAATAATCTCTAATTTATATTAAAGTAAAATATTCATAGATAAAAGATTATGTATTCATTAGTGAATGCAATACAGACCACATCCGGCAAAATCAACATATGATTGCATTTCAAGTATTTCTCCGATCGGACGACAGCCAACTTTTCCGGTGTTATTGTTTTGCCCACATGTCTGATACGTACTGTCGGCACAATCCTATGAGTAGATATCAAATACAAAATGATTATTAAATTACAAACAAAAATTACAACTTTAATAATAAATAATTACTCAAATAGTTGTGTCGCTCTCTGTTTTTCCGCCAAATCGTTTGTCTCGACATACTTTACGTACCGAAACACGGCTTCAATAAAAGTGGCCATCGCTGGCGAATACATACTACCCGTGCGGAACAGCTCGGCGTACTCTATGGCGCGGTCTATATCGCCTACGAGTGCGTAACACCACATCAGCTCGAAGTACATCACCCTTTTGGGTGTCAGGTGTTGATCGGTGAGCAAGTTTTGGTAGGCGTCGATCGCCGGTCCGATTCGGCCGTTTAATTGCAACAATTTTGTGTTGTATATGTTTAGCATTAAATTCTGTGTTCAAAATGCATTAAAAAATTCATTTTTAGAAATGTTACTTATATTCTGATATTTTACTAAAATTATACACACTTTAGGATACTTTTCTAGCTGTATGTCGAGTAATTTTTGACAATGATCCACGTTTAGGGGCCCTAGACATAGGTGCGGCTCAATGTAGCTCCAATAAAATACGCGAACCAGTCGGGCCAGTTCGCTAAACATGCCTGGTAGTTTATATGCTGCCGTATCAATATTATACCATCCGATACTCTCACTACCGCTGATGCCTATAAAGTTGATGACTTGTAGTATTTTTGGTGGTATATTACTTATGGTCAAATTCATGAAACCATTGGCCAGACGTACGGCCGCCTCGTATTGCTGTTTAGACGCCTCACTCTCCCAATGGGTTCGCATTTTACGCACTTTATTGGCGTGACTTT